ACTATCGACAGTTTATTCATCAATTATAAAAAGAAGATTTGCTATTCTGAAATTGTGGTTACCCAAATGTCCCGCCAAAATGAGACATGTGCACAAAATTTAAAAATCCGCGAAAAATTCAAAATTTGGCCTTGAACTGTGAACTGTCAAATATTTATGCTCTATACCCCGTCTTCGCAAAAAAGCCAGCTGTTTAACCAAACTGCGCCTTTTACCCCGACCTGGATCTTCCCATGTAGTTTATGATTTAACATTTGTTAGAGCAAATGGACATGGGAGAAAAATCGTCAACTTTAACTAGAAACCATGTGTTGAAAGTATAACGATAACTGAATGAGTATTAGAATTATAAGAAATGAAACAACTAACATTTAATTACACCACTCTCTACCAAAAATTTCAAAAAAAGGATTATACACAAATAGCAACATTAAAACAACAAATACAAATTAAACTCCACGTCCATAATATTATTAATTTGACAGATGAAAACTTTCAAGATCCTTTCTCTCAAAGTGGACCAACATTAAGATTAGTGTCAATGCCATAAACGAACTATATTGTAAATCTCGAGTGAGAAGTTTATGAAGTGTGAATAATATTAACTTAAGTAAAAACATCCAGGACTTTTAGATATATAATTATATAGTGACAAAAAATAGCAAAGTCTAAATAAGAGAATTTCCGCCACGTATTTTACACCATTTTCCATGATTATTGTCAAACTGTGATGAATTTGAGAGTTTCACTACATTTCATATTAGAAAATCACTAAGCAACTCACATTACACTAATCCGACTGTAGCGTCAGATGCAATTCATTTTTAAAACCCCTTTTTATTCACTAACATCTCCAATTTTAACTGATATTCTATAGTCACCAAAAAATTATGTTTCAAGAGCTTTTTACCTCTTGAGCGTAAGCTATAGAATTATATAAGAGAATTCATTTGGCGAACAGAATATGAAAAAGAAGAATGTGTCGTAGCAGTTCCATATTTAACGGTTAAGAAAATTTGATCGGTCGATAAAGGACGAGGGCAGAATATGCTGCACACGCATAATTAATTGGGTCATTGATAATACATAATAATACACGATAAGAAACATCTTATAGCACAATGACTTGTTGGTCGGAGAAGCTGGGTGGAGGGGTTCTTCGACTACGTAGCAACGATGAGGAAGGAGGACCTTACTAGCTCTAGACGGACACACTAAACGGCTGTTTTGGCAGAACTGAACTGTTCTGTTGGGAATTTTATCAGATCAGGAATTTCCAAAACTACTGGATGAGTTGACATACAAGAATCAAGAAATCACTTCATAAAATTTTATTCTACAGGTGTTTGACAAGTCCATGAGATCGAAATGTCATAGTTCTCAGTAAGTAACGGACAAAATTGGGCTCAATAATTTCCATAAAACGCCACTTCTGAATCTTTTAACATACATCCGTTTTAACCAAAAAACAGTTTCTTGACAACTGAAAAAAAAAGAAAAGAATAACTTATCGTAGTAAAAGCTCGTGATGAGTTAGGCGATAAGTTACTATTATTATTGCTATTACTATTATTATAACATAAAATAGCGTGCAGAAATGCGTTAAAATATATATTATAATTGTTCATTTTAATCAGTAGCTAGACGTATATAAAGACCTGTTGTGGAAAGAACTACATACTTGTTGGTTAAAATATCAAAAGACCAAGTCGATTATTTCAACTGAAAAAATGCTTCAAAAAATTTACGCTGCAGCTGCAGCTGTCGCTATTGTTCTTCTTATTTCATCCGTCTCAGGTACGTATCAGAAAAAGAATTACCATCAATATTAATGTTTTAAAATTCACAGCTCAAGACCCGGGAGAAAAGTAAATGACTTCGACAGGATTTTTGTTTGAAATATGCTCTATATCTGCACCTTTTTGCACTGCACTGGCGGGAGTTCTTCAGCTGAAACCTTAAAATTTGGAATTATTGTATAATACAACTTGGTCCCACATGTTTCAATTTCAGAGCGCTCTGGGCAACACATTGTAGAACTCCACACTTCGTGCATCCCTCACCTATCAGTATTAATAAATGCATACAAAAATAAATATCCTGCAGTTTTATTTTTCCTTCTGCCGATTTATACGCAGTTACCAATATTTTGTTCCATTTTTTGCTTTATGAAACTTAGAGGCATGAGTGGAAGTGAGGAAAAATTTTAGTGAGAATATAATTCATGAATCACATGACCCCATTTCTTCCAATAGAATTTGTTCATGCCCTTAGTTACATGTCTATCACAGCGATAATAATTTTATTGCCTTATTGTGGTCTGTTGCTACCTAAATTTAAAAACTGTCAAATTGACAAATTTTAAAATTTCGTAAATTTTTTTGTCTTTTATGGCTTGCCAACGTTGGGGGCAAGCTCAAAACGACGAAATCAATTCTATTATCAAAAAATGTGTTCATTTATTATATTCTCATGTTGAATATAACTCGTGATATGATTAATAATCTAATAATCGAAGATATGGCTCGTGAAACCGAAGCAGCACATTCAACTCGTGCTTCGCACTCGTTGAATCTGCAGCTCGGTTTCACTCGAAATATTATCGATAATAATCATATCACTTGTTATATTATAACTGAAAGTATATTGTTACGAAATAAACCCATACGCTATAGCCACTATATTTCATATAGTAGCGACATCGGGTCACTAACTGGTCCCACTAGTGCTGCCAACTTAAAATCCAGGCGAAAAATGGCGCCTCCTTTAAATTAAAAATTGTGTAAAATTAAAATTTGATACACAAAACAGGAAAAATTGTTATTATTAATATATTTATATATATTAATTATTGATTTTAACGCAAATCTCCACACGAATAACAGAACATACTTACTTCCAATTAACAACAAAATGGTCTTTAGAGTTTTGACAACAAAACATGTTTTGACTTTTTGTGCTACGTTGTTTACACCAAGGTAGACAACACAAAACACAACCAAAACATCTGACATTTAGTTACTTCAGTGCAACCAACACAATTTGGGACCAGCCAGGAGACCCAGGTGACGCTACTATATGTAATCTAGTGGCTATACCATACGCCGCCCCGGTACGACACCTATAGGTTCCCGAACTTTCTAGTACGCACGGCGTTGATGGGTGAATCATCATCGGTGATGGCGGCGTTCCATAAAGGCAAGTCTGGAACGAGTTACCGGAAGTCTTGATTGCGTGCCCAGAAAACTCTCGAAGCGGCGTTCTCGATCCATCGAGAGGAACGTATAGGTTTAAATAGAGGCCACCGTCGGGAACGATTATTATTCAGTCGAGTCAAGTCCACCGAATGTAGAGAAAACCCAGTGAAATTGCGCCGGAATTATTGTGTACATAATCGCGGTAATAGTCGTGTAAATTCGAGTTAGTAAGAAATAAATTGTTGAGTTTAGCCACCCGATTTTTAAACACCCGTACAACGTAACAATCATCCAATATTAACAGGAAAGGAGGTTAAGAAGAGAAAATATCTAAATGTGTAAAATATTTGTCTGGTAGACAGAAATTATATGAACAATTTAAATTGCAGAGAAAACAAGGAAAATATTCAATTAATTAGTCAAAATAAAACCATGGAAAACACTTCGAAATTCTGCACCAAATTAGAGAAAATTGGAGTTCTAAGAAAAATCTAATTACTGGAGAAAAGTGGGAAAGGATTGGACATTTTAAGGAAAACTTTAAAACTAAGACGATTTTCATTGTAAAACTGGATGTATAAATAAAAAAAATGTATCTGTTTATATACCCCCCCCCCAAAAAAAAAAAAACCTGACGTAGTTTCTTGCTTTTTAAAACGTGCAAAATACCGAACGACTATTAATATTTGTTATTTTATTAAATTATTTTAATTAATATTCTGCAATCTTTAAAACAGTACCACAGTAGACAGTACCTATGTATTTATTCCAAACCTTTTTTTATTTGTTATTTTAATTTTTCAAAGCAGTATTTAGATTTTTAACGTTTGTCAACGCAAAATAATTACAAATTTTTGAAAGATTCCAAATTTCCAGATATGTTGGAAACAACTGCTGACCACACATTGGGTTAAAATTTGACCTATCATAACCTAACTTTCTTGAGCTCTTAATAAAAGTGACCAGAGACTTTAATACATAGACTGGCTGTGTCAGGAAAAACGTGAAGTTCTTCGACCGCCATATTGCTTATAACCGTAAGTGCGCGAAATTTGAATTTTCCGGTCACAAAATGCAATTTAAAATGTTAAATAAAAAAGACAACAAATTGTAATTATTTATTTAGCATAATAATATCTATTATGTATATGTAAATTCCTTTAAAAATATTAATGTCCTTGAAACAAAATTAATTTCGTGAATTTTTGTCTTAAAGAGATAGCTTTTTCACGCTCAGTACTTAAGCGGCACTCATAACCTATTCCGAGAGTCAAATAATTTCTCAAAATTAATTTAAGCAATAAATTAAAATAAGAATTATTTACGTCCAACTAATCCATACTAAACAAATGTTCATTATGTAGAAAAAAAATGTATGGTCCTACTTTGCAAAGTTAAGGCAAACATTTTAGTTACCAAATCATTTTTAATGGCCATATTTACAAACAATCTCGTAAGTCCCGACACACAACCACTTTTATTTCGAGGTCTAGAAACGTTCTGTGCTAGAAACTACTGCTGCTAACCACCACAACCTCACTTAATTTGACATAAAAGTTATAGCAATGGCGTCCATACTACCATGCGCCGTGGCTTCACCAAAATGCATTAGAAATGTTACTAACAGCCAGTCTATGTATTTAAAGTCTCTGAAAGTGACATAGCGTCAAACATTTGAATCAGGTTCCGCAATAGGAGCGCAAGAAAAATTTCTCAGGATTGGTTGTCAACCCGGACAGTATTTCTTGATCACGCTGTATTAATTTTTCTTGTTAAAATAATTTTTTAATTACAACAAGAATATAAGTACACATTTTTAATTTACATAAATGTACATTTTTTGTTTTAACAAATAACGAGTGGTACAATTCACACTAAAACAGGTGGCATAATTTAGGCTTTGATTAACACTTTTTATGTAAATACAGAGAACTAAGATGTCTTTTTAAATGAGAATTATTCAGAGTTTTGTATGGACACTTGTTACACCTATACCATTTAATATCTTGTCCAGTTGAGTGCCGTACATTGACGTGCATTTTTAACTTCCAGCTATTTTTCGCCCTATACGGACACTCCTGGCACTCGTACCATTTAATATTCTGCTCGTCTATGTGGTGCAACTTCACGTGATTATGAAGAGTGGAATTGTGTTTAGTTTTGTATGGACACTTCTTACACTCGTACCATTTAATGCTATTTTCATCCAAATGGTGCGTATTTATGTGGCTTTTCAAATACCGCTCCTCCTTAGCTTTGTATGGACAACTCTGGCATTCATACCACTTAATATCCTTGTCATCCAAATGCCGCGAAACCATGTGTCTTTTTAAACACGAATTTGACTTAGCTTTGTATGAACATTTTTGGCATTCGTGCCATTCAATGTCCTTTTCCTCCAAATGTCGCCTGCTTACGTGTCTGGCTAAATAAGAATTCTTTTTAGCTTTATATGGACACTTGTCGCACCTGTACCATTTAATATCTTGCTCAGGCAAATGGCGGGCATTTACGTGACTTCTTAAATAATCTTTTTTCCGCGCTTTGTATGCACATTTCTGGCATTCATACCATTTAATGTTTTGTTCATCGACGTGGCGTAGCTTTATATGACTGTTAAGATTTGAACGGTGCTTGGCTTTGTAGGGACACTTGTCGCATTGGTACCATTTAATATCTTGATCGGCTAAATGGCGCGCATTTACGTGAATTCTTAACTTCCAGCCGTTTTTAGCTCTATATGAGCATTCCTCGCATTCGTACCATTTAATATTTTGTTCATCTACATGGCGTAGTTTTATGTGGTTGCTAAGATTCGAACGGTGTTTGGACCTATATGGGCACTGATCACATTGGTACCACTTAACATCTTGTTCGTCTAAATGACGCGCATTTATGTGGTCTTTTAACATATAGTTGTATTTGGTTTTATATAAGCAGAGCTTACATTGGTACCATTTAATCTTCTGTTCATTCAAACAGTAGGTATTTATGTATTGTTTTAAAATCAAACGGTGTTTTTGATCTGCTAAACATGAAGCGCTGTGTTGTAGCCATTTAAGAACAAAGTGTGTTACAAAAGTGCATTTTTTACAGATGTACTTCTGAATTACGTGTTTCTCGTTTGGTAAATCTTCATCAGGTTCTTTTTTAATGGTATGGTGTTCCTGAAGATGTTGTTTAAAAATGAGGGTTAGTTCTGTTTGGAAGTTACAATCTTTGCAATAATAGGTTTCAGGCGAGTTTCCACAAGTAAAATGAGGTGGTGAAAAGTGATGTCTTCTGATGTGGTTTTCCATAAGAATTACTGAGTTTTGCTTCGACTGGTTTCACTATAAAGTTTTATTACAAGACAGAAATAATGTTGTAATTTCCTTACCGACTGGATTTAGTTGTACTTAAATATCATTCGCGCCTTTTTTACCAAAATTCTTTACATTGCTTATCAATTTAACTTTTTTTAACATAACCTATAAACTTAATATTGAGAGTAGGCAACACACAATACACGTATCATTATCAGGAAACCATCTTGGTTGTACATATAAGCAGAAAAAATTCTACAATAAAATTGATCAACGTTGGGTCAAACAAACAAGATTGAATTGAATATCAAATGAGAAAACCATTTTATCTTCATTAAAAAAAGTGTTTCTCGCAATCGTAATATGTTGAGTCGTTTATAATCTTTAATTAAGGGTCATTTTCGGATGCTTTTCACTAGCAACTATTTTTCTTTTTAATGTGCGTCCTCCTTTGATCAGTTTTTTTTCGCTTAGGTGCGGCTGTATGGTGAGTTTAATTTTATATTAGTGGCAACTCTGATAATACTAGTTCATTGTTGGTTGCCTACTTGACACAAGTGTTTGTGCACCTAACCTAAGTTTATGTTTTGATTTATTTAAAAATGACGAGTATGTTATCAAAGGTGTTAAAGTATCTTCTAATTTTCTTCTTCTAGACGCATTGTATTCGAATTTACCGGAAAACTATTTACCTGATGCTCCTGAGATAGGTGAACCGTATAAATATATAGAAAATCTTCTCCTCAAAGAACTACCGAAGTCTGACTCCAAAAACTTAAGTCATGAGCTTAAGTGGACATTTTTACTAGAAAAACACCGAAGTACTAAGAAAAAACCGAAACCAATCCGGAAAAAGAAGACTTTTTTAACACGGAAAGAACGAAAGGAGTTGGATATATTAAAACTTCCAAAAACTGGTTGGGATTATGATTCCTTGGCCCCCATTAGACAAATGTGGCGTGAATACATGAAACAAAACTTGGAATTAGTAGGACCAGCTCCGAGTTGCACAGACTCTGATTGGAGCAATTTCTCCACCATTTTAGCACGCTCTGAAGTGATTGGTAGCGAATTAAAAGTGGTTAGGTCGAAAGTTCCGTCACACATTGGCTTATCAGGCACTGTTGTTTTAGAAACCAAAACGACGTTTCAAATAGTGACCCCTCAGTCACAGTTTAAGAGTAAGATTGTCGTAGTTTCATTTCCAAAATAACATTTTTGTTTCAGTTATCCCTAAAAACACCTCCGTTTTTGAGTTCCTTTTAGACAAACTAAAATTCACCGTGTTTGGTAAACACATCATGACAAAACCTAGCGAGAGAAGCGTGAAAAAAATCAAATCACAAATGTTACCAGATTTATAAAATTTAATTCATCGATAAATCTATAATTGCGATTTTTTTCGACTTTTGTGTATACTGTGTTCGTATTGTAATTTAGACCAGATCCCCCTACACATTTTAACTAGTCTTTCATCCACCAGCACAGACTTCTTCGCGTTTTTATACTCTTCATGTATTATATATCTTGCTAGTTTAAACCTCTGCTGCTGAATTAAACTTAAACTAAAAAATAACCTACACCTAGCAGCAATAGTGGGGTCCCCTAACCGTAACGCTAATTTCAACTGATTCACAGAGATCTTTCCTGCTATAAGGGCACAATTTGCGAAATAATCCCCAAGTGCTGAGAACGCACCGCCGAGGGTCGACAACCAGGATAAAGCGTGATCCAGCTCACAGCGCTCTCGCACCATTTCAACCACACGGTCGTTCCTTAAAAACGCAAAGTCACTCCCATTATTTCAGCACGACATACTCACCATTTATAATCAATGGTATCACAGCGCGTTGGTAGTAAAATAAACCTAAATGAGCGACGTTTTTGAGTTTTACAAAACCTAACCCTATAGAAGGCGCTAATTTGGAGTTCCTTGGACAAATAGTAATAAAAGATGCAGTCTACTGAGACGTCAAGCGCTGGTTTTCGAGAACCGATTTTCCCGAACGAAAGCTCTTGCACATGCATGGTAAAAGGTAAAAATCCATATAAAAATTGGTTTTGACGGTTGAGGTTATGTTTACTTACTCACTAGATTTGGTCGTTTTTTGTGTGGTCAAGGCCAGCATTAATTTAGTTTTTTTTAATTAAGTGCATAATTTAATTAAATTTGATTGAATTAAATACTAATGATAATCATTTAAATTTCAAAAGTGGAAAAATGTCCTTATTTTTAACGTATTTTTAAATAAAGACATTTCCCACTGTTAAATTAACAAAAAAATTTGTTGGCAGCACTGTGAGTAGTATAGTATGTTTCAAAATGGCTGCTGCTTTGTCATACGAAGGTATTTATTGTTTATTTAATTATTGAAACAAAGTATCAACTTTTACAAGGTGCATTAATTATGGAAATACCATTGCCAATGTGCGACACAGCCATTCTAAAATATACCGACTTATGGCTATGAAAAGTTTTTGAGGTTATAATTTTACTCTTTTTACGTTTCAGATTTGCGTAAACATGCACGTCACCTGGAAAATGAAATAGATTTGAAATTAGTGGCTTTTAGTAAATTGGGGGCCGGTATAAAGTCGCCCCCTCATGCAAGCTCGGATGCTGTTCCTCTTCTCTCAGGAGAAGACACCTTCGAAGCAATGGCTCTTGAAATTGAGGAACTTCTAAACAAAGTAAATTTTCCGCTTTACTTTGTTAACATAAATTTACTAAATGTATTATAACTGTAAATCTTGTGTGTAATTTTGTGTTCTTATATGCAATCATTATGACCAAGTAGTTAAGTTTTTTATATGAACACAAATCACCAGTTATGCGTTGATTGAATGTGTTTTTAATCACATATTTATTGCTATTTAATCTCTGATTGTAAAATTTGATTTAACAAGTGGCCAGACTAATTGATTATCGTTTGATAGTGTTACCATAAACCATAAAAGACATGGTTTATAGCTACTGCTAAATGAATAATTTATATGGTCACAGTGATCACTCTAAATGCACCAAAGCATAAACTGTAACCACACACTAGAACATACTAGAATATTTTATTTTGTAAACTATGGTTAAAAAGTGACAAAATTCTCTACAGTTAACCCAAGTCAACGAACGAATGTCTGAACAGCCCGTCTCCGGCGCCGCCATGCTTCACACTCTTCAGCGCCACCGTGATATTTTAACAGATCTGTCTCGAGATTTTCGAAAAACCACCTCCCAGCACGAAGTTCGAAGAGAGAGAGAAGATTTATTGAGGGGCTCCGGCGATACCTTTCGCAGCGACGGAATTAACAACCGACGTGATATGTATTTAAAAGAGAACCAGCACATACACAGGTGAGTTTCGGGATCGTCGATTCGTGTATTTAGGTTCTGTTGCAGTTCAGACCGTTTGGTTAACGAACAAATTGCGATCGCTATGGAAACTAGGGAGCATTTGACCAATCAGCGGCACGCGTTTAAGCGCTTGCAGACTAGGTTTAACGATATCTCCAATAGGTATCCGGTTATCAACAGTCTGATACAGAGGATTAATTTGAAAAAGAGGCGGGATTCGATTATTCTAGGGTTGGTCATTTCTGGGTGCACGATTTTAATGCTCCTCTACGTGTTTCATTGATTCGGTTATTGTGATAAGGTTTCAATATTCCATTATTTAAGGATAGGTCAAGTATAACCAAAAAGTCGAGGGACGTGTTAGTGTTGACGATATTTATATTTGTTATTTAATAAAAGTGTATTTTTATGGTGCGTTTGATGTCCTGTCGTTCCTTGGTCCTGAGCGCAGCGTGCATGGAATAACACGTGGTTGAAATCGATAATCTTTAGGTTTATTATTTATTTTTTATTAATATTTATGGTCCAACTTGGTCGATAATTTTTGTTTAGGTAAGTATTGTGGTGTCACAGTTTAAAATTAAATTTAGCGTCAAGAAAAAGAAAAAAAACACGAAACCGCTTTAAAAAATGAATTCTATTATAAAGGTACGAACGAGACCTGCCGCATGTTGACCACAACATCCGCATTGTGAGGCGGTAACCTTCTCAAGGTGAGGACGCGTAATGACAGCCACAACACGTGGTATGGATTTTAAATACTCGCGGTTTTGCAGATAAACATTAACATGAACACGCCAAGGAAAGAAAACCTTTCAATTTGAGTGTGTGATCTCGTCACTCCGCCGCCACGTGATCCCGTGCGTTTATTCCGGTTGAAGTTAAAAATTTCCGAATTTTGACGATGGGAAAATTAAGCCACATTCTATCAACAATTTTAAACAAGAATTTATGTGAGGTTAAATTATGCATTAATTTAAGTTGATGATTAAATCAAAATAAAGTTCATCTAGAACTTTTAGCTTCATTAAGCCTGAATAAATGAATTTCTTGCCACCCATTTTATATGGACACATATTTGATTACATATTAAATTCTATTAAAACCATGAAAAAAAAAATAAAAATCATAAGGTGAACTGTGGTGACCAAATTTGAATTAAAATTTCGCGCTGAAGAAAAAAAACCAACGACGCGAAATCACATTTGAATAATTTGAATTTGAAAAAGAATTGGTAAAGAAAATCGTTAAACACAGGCAACCATGTGCAAGTTTAGTTCTTTTTTTTGGTAGTTGGTAGCTCTTCTAGGGAATTTTGGGTAGTATCTAGTGAGAGGGTTGGTAGGAAAGTTCACTTGTTTGATAGAGGGTACGTAAATTTTCATGTTCTGCAGTTCCTAACCTCACGTAATTTTTTTGCCTACACAAGTTTTACTTCACACCAGGTCTTTTTTTGTTTTATAAATCTGTTGTTTTTTTTTGACCACATAAATATTTTTTGATTAACGCTTCCAACACATGAATTGTCTGATGTCCAATCTTAATTTCAGATAAGAATTCTTTGCTGTTTAAAATTTCGCGAGAGTGTATGGCGAATTTAAACGTTGTTTATTGCTCTTTTCAGACTTTAACATTTGCTCGGTTGTAGTTTAATATCAGAGTTGTAGAAAGTGAACATTTAAAAGAGAATTGGGGTAAATAACACAGAAACACGTGGCGGAAGTGGAGGGCGCGATTCCTAGTCGAGCTGGCGGGATTTATCGCACCTTCTGCATAAAACATGCAGATCTTGAATAGAAGTCAGGTGAGCGGTTGGGACGACGTGATGCTCGCGGCTTGTTCTAATAGCCGGGATTTCCAACCACGAGTTTGTGACCGTGACGGCACGTTTCTTCGTGATAGAGAGGTGCTGGGCGGCATGTGCTTACCGATAAACACAAACACTTAATTGGCGAAGCGATTGACGTTCTAAATTGGCGAATGCGCCCGGAAAAACAGGATTCGGAACCTTCCTAACAAAGTTTGTCATACAATTCTACATTATTTCTGGCGAAAATACTTATTCGGTTTCATGAATAAATAAGTTGGATTCGAGTTGCTGCGGGGTTTGGTCTTTTAGTTAAATAAAGTAGCCTATAAATCAATAATTCGCATACGGCGGAATTTGTGGTAAACTAAAAAAAATGTCAAACTCTTAATCAGTATTAATTGCTTTGTCTGAAAAGACCATCCAAATTTGATAATTACTGTGAAATTATGGGTAATTTTCTTTGTGTTCGACGTCAATAGTGACTTTTTGTTTTCTATTTTGTTCATATTCATCTATATCAATCCCACTGATGTAAAAAAGTGGATCTATTTGCTGCCTAATCATATATCACCAGGTAGAGACCCCTTAAAATTAATAAACATGATTTTTTTACAAACTAGAGACGAAAAATATTTAGGAATAAAATTTTATATTGTGGAGTAAAATTACGAAGTGATCAATTAATTTAACAATGTTTAAACAAACTGAATTGTTTTTAATAACTTCATGTTTGTAGGAAAAGGGTTGTCGGTTTAATTACGACATATTTATCCTTATCATATTTAAACAGTATAAATGCTTTCGTTACAAAAGTCCCCCTTGCTCCACATTGGTCACCAACGAGCGAATTTCACGAATTTTGGGCAACTTTACTGGCTCTAAATATTTGAATTTTTTTGGCCTGGATCGTTGATGCTCAGCAAGAACCACGGGAAGGTTTGGAGCAGGTCTTACTTAGATATACTACAGATATAGATATAATACAGCTGTATAGTTAGTACCTAAGCATATACACCACCTGAAGAAGTCTTTACCATCAAAGGTTGCGACCCATTTTATGAAAAGAGATACCTACCTGAATATTATAAAATGAATACCCAAGCAAGCACACCGATGGACCTTGGACGAAAACTATAGGATCGCAGTACTCCCACGCCCAAGGGAAGAACGCAGCCACATAAATCCTCCAAGGCCGACTGACCTCATGATGCGACCCAGCGTCTAAGGGCCAACAGCCCCCCCCCCCCGTCAAGAGCGTCTGACGACATGGAGAATTCAGACTCGGAACCAAAGGATACACTGTTGCAAAATTAATACTCAAGCAAGTATACCATGAAAACCCACAAGGCATTTACACCACTGGAGCTAAATTAGCAAGACCCACACAATAAATTAAAAATTCGCGAACACCTACTACTTTTAAGACGAAACGGAGCTCCGAATGCTCGGATGTTACTGCCACCAGGCCGAAATCAAAACTGAATGCAAAGGATTAAATAGTGACCTTTGCTCAGGTCGCTCACGTGACAGTCACGTCATCGTACGTGTGACGATGAGATTGTAGAAATTATTTTTCATATTTTGCCCGGGAAATTGCACATTTTCGGGGTTAATTTAACAATGCTTAAACAAATTGAATTGTTTTTAATAACTTCATGTTTGTAGGAAAACGGTTTTCGGTTTAATTATGACATATTAATACTTATCATATTTAAACAGTATAATTAATGTTAATTAATGTTTCGGTATTATTTATTCCTCGGAAAAGTTATCCGGCCAACTTCAATCGTCTTCCAAAATTTCCCAAAATTTAGAGATTTGTCAAAATACGAATCACTGATTCCGATAAATTAAAATTCGAATCGTTCTTACCCCGTTTTCGCGCCTTTTTGAAAAAATATTCACGTTCCTTCGTGTTCACAGCACTAACGCAAAACATTTTCACTAATATTTATGGACAGTAAATTAAAAATTCGCGAAAACGTACTATTTTAAAGCCAAAACGGAGCTCAGAATGTTCCGATGTTGTTGCACCAGACCGAAATCAAAACCATTAGTGTAAGGCATCCTGATCGTGATCTAGTGGTTACGAGTCAGGAATGCGGACCGGACGTGGCGCGTTTGATTCCAAACTTGGTCTTTCGTTTTTTTCTCTTTTTCTCACGCATTGTGTATTATTTATGTTTATGATGTCATAACAATTTTTTTATTGATGATGTTAGCCCACTTTCTCGAAAAGGTGACAATACGCCCCCCCTTATTTAATAATGTCAAGCCGTCTCGAGGGCGCCAAATGTCTTTTCTTGTAAAACCTTCTCGGGGGGCACAAGTGTTCTTTTTTAATAATAATAATATTTATTGTCAAACAAAATACATTTAATTGTGGAAAAAAACTCTATTCCTAATAATTCTCGGGGGTCTTAACTGTCTTTTTATAAACGTAAAACTTTCTCGGGGGTCCCAACTGTCTTTTTTAAAAATGTAAAACCTTCTCGGGGGCGCCAAATGTCTTTTTTTTTAATGTGAAACCTTTTCGTGAATTTCAACTGCCTTTATAAAAAATGTAAAACCTCAAAGGTTCCAAATATCCTTGTTTTTTAATGTGAAACCTTTTTGGGGGTTCCAACTGTCTTTTTACCTCCCGAGCGTAAGCTAAGAAAGTACTTGCCACTTTCACGTTTTCTCGATGTGTCATGACCTCTAGAGTACGAAAAAAGTGGTCTATTTTTGCAAAAATGTTGATGACGTTTTTGTGAATTCACGTGAATTGTGTGGACGAAATTCACCGTCCTCGACCGTATTACAATTATATGTACCTGTTTATTGCATAGGTTTATTATTTTGCAGATGCTAAAAGTCTGGCCAAAATTTTGTTTAGTAAATCCTGTTTAAAATGTGTAAAATAATAAGTTTCTTGATTTAATAATCAATTAGTCAATTCCTGTCTTTTATTTCGTGCTTGCAACATTTTGGAAAGAATCAAAATTATGCAACAAAACTTTACGATTAGGTATTTAACTCTCATTAGTGATTATGAAAGTGAAAATTAACGAGTATGACAGAAGTTTAGTAAAAATGTTGGTAATGTCTAAAACTTTGTACTCTATGCTTAAAAAGTGGAATTGTTGTATTTATGAGTACGTATGTAATAAAGCTTTAGATAATTTAAACCATCACGCACGCAATATCGTATTTTAGTTTTCAGTGCAATACTCACATGCCTAAATTATAATAATCACACAGGTTTTTTAATAAAAAAAAAGTTGATGTAAAAAACACTACAAAATATAATACGATATTTACAAATTTATTTAACAAGTCTAACACTTTGTAAATATGCTTTCTAGGAATTTTGGTTTAGCTAATTACTTAATGCTAAGTATCTTTCGACAGAATTAGAAGTGCAACTTCCAGTGCCACACTACAATTTTTATAGAATAAGTATGATGATTTGATGAATATCTGTTACGTTTTTTGTGTCCTAATTGTATAACTTTTTTTATGAATAATTTTTTGTTTCAATTTATTGATCTATTTTTATTAAAGATAACAGAAAAGTATTCAAGCTTTGGTTTATCGACATTATAATTGTCAAGAGT